CTCATCTTACTATCTGATATAACTGGATCATGGTACCTGCATGGTGCTGTTTTTGTACCAGGACACTCGCTGTAAACAAACTTTCAGTGTTGCTTTAAATATTTTGCTTATTTTCTGTGATTTCCAAATGTTTTATTTTTTTACTCTTCACCCTCCCTGTTAAATTTGATCTAATCATGTCCTGAAACACAGCTCCTCTCCTGCTTTCACTTCTCATACTGACTGAGGGAGCGATTCGTTTGTGAATGATTGTCTGAACAACTCTTTCACTAACGTTAGCCGACAATAATACAAGTTTCCGGCAGCGCAGCATCTCGTCATCATATTTCTTTTGCATTGTTTGCTAATTTTATTCATCAAAACTAGCATAAGCCGAGTATTTAGTGCGAGTTGGAGCTGCTTTGCCGTATGGTGAATGCAGTAAGTGACTGTTATCATCAATAACGTGACCTGATTAGCACAAAAGTTCAGAACATACAAAAACAGAAAAAAACATAATATTACCCATAAAATGTTCTGCCTTTGCGCTTTGTTGTCTTTGTTTGCTCTTTACTACACTCGTAGACAGTGCTAAAGTCCTGCATCTTCACGTAATAACACTGTCTTGTCTAGTGCGGTTGAATGACGTTTGTCCTGGGAGCACTGTACCAATGTGGCGGCGCTATTGACGCATGCTCAGGGTCCCTATGCGATATCTAGTGTATATATCTATAGTCTCCTCCAAAAACAGCTCCTGTAGACACTGTGTGATGTTCTGAATGTTTATAATACTGTATGTTTGTGGCAGATGGACGCAAGTCGTTTTCTGTATGTCCCAAACCAAAAGCTTCAGTTAAAGCAGAATGACCGCGATGTGCGGACGTCTTTCCATTTCGACGCTTGCTTTCGTGACCGTCACCTAGCAACGGCCATAAACAAAACGATCAATGACACAAGCATACTGGGGTTCAGAAGGAAAAAAGACAGTGTGAACACAAACCAACCGAGGAGGTGGCAGGGGGAGACAATCCAACTTGGGTATGATCCAGGCAAATGAACCAAGTGTGAAAGCACCCTAGATTTCTGGTAAATTTCTGTAACTTAATATCCGTTATTTCACGGTTTTAATAAATCAACACTTATGGCTGAATTTGTGGCCCACAGTCACATATTCTAATATTTCCCCCCTCCACGGAGCTCAGCCAGATCTGCAGAATCTGATGCACTATTGCATTTTATGCGCAGTTTACACCTTTTTTCTTGATCTTTGGGCTCTGTGTGGATCGGGTTTCCAGCGAGAGAAAGGACAGACGGAGAGGGAAAAGCAGGACTCTATCAGAGCTGCTCGGGATTGAAAAGCGAGAGCGGTGCTGACAGCTAAATGCGCTAATTTTCTTCTGGGAGCAGGGTTTGTCTTTCCAGCGCAGTGGGCAATCGGCAGATACCGTGGAGGCCTTGTACCCCGGCCAGTGTGAGGACGTCAAAGAGCAGAGAGCTCAAAAATAAAAGTCCAGCTTCATCTTGAATGTTTTTGACTGGAGATTTAAGGGTTTTATTATAGGGCTGTACGATATAAGCAAAAAGTATCGTTATTGTGATAAACGTATATGGGAAATACGGTTGAAGGCAAAATTATTCGCCCTCCTGTGAATTTTCTTTTCTTTTTCAAATTTTTCCCAAATGATGTTTAACAGAGCAAGGAAATGTTCACAGGATGTCTGATAATGTTTATTCTTCTGGAGAAAGTCTTGTTTTATTTCGGCTTGAAGTATGTATGGCTGCATTCAATTTTATAAACGCTACAGGGTGGTATGACACCATTCCTTTTTGCGCTTACCTTGTGACCGCTTACTTCCATATGACCTGTTACCTGTTTCCCTGTTCCGGCTGTTACCTGTTTGTCCAAACACAATCTCACGGCAATTCGTAACTTTTTCATTTAGTGGCTAATTCGTATGAATTCGTACGATCTAATTCGTACAATTTAGTACAATTTGCTTATCTCCAAATGACGGTTGGGGTTAGGGGTGGGGTCAGGTGCTACGCCTCCTTTTTAAAATCGTACCATTTCGTACGACTGAACTCGTACGAATTCGTACGAATTAGCCACTAAACTGGCAAAACGTAAAATACTTACGTTTTCTCGTGAGATCAGGCTGGTTTGTCCAGTTAGCTTACCATGTACATCGATGCATCTCAACGACAAAGTTTGAGTCCGATGAAGATCGGTTCCAACAAAAACGAAATCCAAAAAATTAATAACAGAGTGAAAATGTGGTAAAATCTCAAAGTGTGGTAAAAATCAGACTAATTTCTTTTTCTAAATTGCTTTTGAAAATGGTTGGTTGGGTTTAGGGAAGTGGGTGTGTAGCAGAGGCCAGCTAGTAAGTGCTGTGTGGGCACACCTCACTCCTCTGATTGGTAAGACTGGCTGGGTTACATTGGTGCCGTGTCCCAGATGGGAGTGAGGTTTAAGGGGGTGAGTGTAACGGAGGCCAGCTAGTGAAGTGCTGTGCAGGTAAACCTCACTCCTCTGACCTCTAAAGGTGCTCTAGTGACAAACGCTAGAGGCCATGGTCTTTAGCCTGTTTGTTAGAGCAACCGACTTTCATGCGGAACGTCGCCAGTTCAATCCTAGCTCGGAGTGGGTTGGGTGGCTTAGGACTGGCGGGGTTACATTGGTGCCGTGACCCAGATGGGAGTGAGGTTTAAGGGGGTGAATGCAATTGAGGCCAGCTAGTGAAGTGCTGTACAGGTAAACCTCACTCCTCTGACCTCTAAAGGTGCTCTAGTGACAGTCGCTAGAGGCCATGGTCTTTAGCCTTCCTGGTAGAGCAACCGACTCCCATGCAAAAGGTTGCAGGTTCGATTCCAGCTTGGAGCAGCTTGGGTGGTGTAGGGGCGGCGGGGTTACAGGTGGGTGGGTCAATCTAAAAAATAAGTTGGATTTAGGGAAGGAGGAGGTTGGGTCAGTCGATCGGTTGGTCCAGGGGTGGCCAACCCTGTTCCTGGAGAGCCACCTTCCTGCAGATTTCAGTTGCAACCCATATCAAACACACCTGCCTGTAATTATCACGTGGTGTTCAGGCCCTAATTAATTGGTTCAGGTGTGTTTGATATGGGTAGCAACTGAAATCTGCAGGAAGGTGGCTCTCCAGGAACAGGGTTGGCCACCCCTGATATATATGGTTAAAGTCAGAATTATTAGCACCCCTTTGAATTTTTTTCTTTTTTAAATATTTCCCAAATGATGTTTAACAGAGCAAGGACATTTGCACAGTATTTCACAGAAAATATATTTTCTTCTTGAAATAGTCTTATTTGTTTTATTTAGGCTAGAATAAAAGCAGATTTAAATTTTTTAAAAGCCATTTTAAAACAGACAAAATTATTAGCCCTTTTAAGCTCTATTTTTTTTCGATAGTCTACAGAACAAACCATCAATATAGAAAAACTTGCCTAATTACACTAACCTGCCTAGTTAACCTAATTAACCTAGTTAAGCCTTTAAATGTCACTTTAAGCTGTATAGAAGTGTCTTGAAAAATATCTAGTAAAATATTATTTACTGTCTTCATGGCAAAGATCAAATAAATCAGTTATTAGAGATGAGTTATTATTATGTTTAGAAATGTGTTGAAGAAATCTTCTCCCCGTTACACAGAAATTGGGGAAAAAATAAACAGGAGGGCCAATAATTCAGGGGGGCTAATAATTATATAAATATTCATATTATATATAAATATGAATGTCAAAAGAAATGCATCCAGTCTGGTTAGCGACATTTTAAAAATATCTTTAGCGTTTAACAGAACAAAGAAATTCGTTCAGACTTAGATCAACGAAAGGATATGTACAGAATTTTCATCAATAGTAATGCAGCATTTGAAATCATATTGTTGGATTTTTTTGTTTAAAATCTACAAATGATAAAAATGGTCTCAGACCTTTAAACATTCGGGACAGTAAAGGTATGTTTATTTATGATGAGATACACATCACACACACACACACACACACACACACACACAAGCTTGTTTTGGTGGTTTATGAGGACTCTCTATAGGTGCAATATCTTTTATACTGTTAAAAACGCTTATGATATGGTTTTACCCTGCTCATACACTGTTAAAAGTCACAGAATTTTACTTTCCCAGAAAGTTCCACAATGCTACTGTCATTTTTCACAGTAAATTACATTAGTATCACTTCACAGAGTTTAAATGTGTAATTCAGAAAGATTTTTTTGTATTTAGAATTTTATCGTGAAATTGACGCAGGCATCATAATTACAGGAAATTACTGTAAAAATCTTCTGCACGTGAGTTTTAGGAATTCAAACTCGGGGATGAAAGTAACACACGGGGGGGTCAAAAGTAACAACAATATTTGCTAGATTTTCCAGCTTAATTTTGTTTATTTTTGATATATCTGACTTAATGTTAACAGCAAACATATTTGTCCTTTATTCTTCCCAAACACGATTAAATGGCATTTTCATTTTAAATTTCACTTCGATTAAATATTTTAAAATCAGTCCAACATTGCAAAATGTTAAACTTTTCTAACATTTTTGAATATTGTTTATTATTATTGGCAATAAGCATTCATTTTTTATAAAACCTCTAAATCCAAACACTGCAAACTGTAATGTGGAAGCAAAAAAATGTTACTTTTGTCCCCACTGGAACTAAACCCATTTCAAGAGTTCCCACTTAGCTGATGATTGATTATAAAGCTTGTTTGCCATGCATAAGATCCTTGAGCCCAGGGCTTCCTCCCATTTCCAAGGCGAGAGGGTAGTTTGAGCTCAGGTAGATCTAGAGAACTACCCTGCTGTATTAACTAATGAACAGATAGTGATTGCTCTTAAGAGATCACTACTTACTAGGAGCATGTCTATGTTGCCAATTTGGATTAGTCAATTAACTTAAGTTGCATTTTTTTGGACTGCGGGAGGAAACCGGGGGAAACCCACATGAGGATGGGGAAAGCGTGTAAACTCCACACAGAAACGTCGGCTGGCTTGGTAAGGACTAAAACCAGTGACTTTCTTGCTGTGAGGCAACAGTGCTAACCACTGGGCCACTGTGCCACCCATCTTGGAAAGGAGGAGGAGTCGGAGTGAAATGGGGGATTCTTCGAAATAAAGATGGCTGTTATATGGAACTTATGGTATTTATAGTAGCTTAGGAATCGTCTGATTGGTGAATCGTAAATTGAATAGTGCGGGGTGGCTGCAAGCAATCATAAGCTTGTGATCCTCTCGAAATTAGTTTATAAATAGACTTCCCTTAAACCTGATTTGCTTTTTAACTGAAAAACTCAGACATTTCAAACTTACAGATGTGTTATTACACTAAATAAACTGTAGATTGATCATTAATGTGGCACATGAAAATAGAAACACAACTTGTAATAAGGAAAACCGCTATAATAATTTACTTGCTGCATTTAAAAACTAAAAAACTGCAGGACAATGTTCTGAAATCACATGATTTTTGGCAGTTCCATCAACGGTTGCATGCTGAATATGCTGTTATAGCCTGGAAGACAAATGTTGTCAGGGCTTTGAGAAAATCGATTTGTTACGTTCATCCCACTTTACTTTCATCCCTGCTCTGCCCTACCCTTAAACACAACCCTGACAGAAAACCTGTGGCAAATTTTAAGAGTGAAAAAACCCTGGCTGCGTCCGAAACCGCATACTACTCAGTGGGTACTGCATTTAAATTTAAACTTACTACTTGGCCGTTAGAAAAGTACGTTCTATACAGTATGAATGTGAAAAGTAAGAATGTGTCCGTTGCGTCGATTTACTCCCATTCATGAATTCTCTCGCGGGACATTCTCTCGGGGATGCGCACTCCAGAATCTCGCCGGAAGCAGTAAGTCATCCAGGTATTTCTTGCATACTGATTTTCGAATTCTAGGAATTCGGACATACTACTCGGCTCGCATACTGATTTTAGCGTACTATATAGTATGGAAGCATGCGGTTTCGGGCGCAGCCCCCGTTAAGTATGACTTCTAAAAGATTCAAACTACGAGGACGCAAGTCATGTCCTTATAAGCCTCATCAATATTGTACTTGCAAGGTCATACCCATGTCAATATACAAATTGTGCCCTTATAAACCACCAAATCCAGTACACACACATACACATAAGCTGAACTGTGTTAAATATGACAGGGTTTTACAGATAAAATCATTTTTTAACCTCTCCCCCTTCACTTAAAGACATTAAGTGAAAGCAAACGTCTGTCTCTAGACCTATTAGCTGATCTTTCGTGACAGGATTAGTTTTCTACAACACAACAGAACTCTTAAGATCTCTGTATCTACCGTTTACTAAATGCTTTCAGTTTAAGTTCAACTTTTCAATCTCATCATTTCTGCCTGAGTAAAAGCCCATTAGTCAAGAATTACTGCTAATATCCAGACATGAATCACCACTGTGCTTTATGAGTGAGGTTTGTGTACTGTACACAATCTCTTAATTATCTCTTGAAACAATCTGTTAATTTTAACAATCATAATGGCCTATCTATACACTGCACCTACTTGATAACTGATTTATGCTTAAAGCTCTTGGTTTAAAATTGACGTCGCCATGGATACCATGAAATTCTTGGCCACTCCTGGTTGGACGCTGTCAGAGAAACACCACGTAATTTTCAGGGATGAGGCCTGTTTTGCCCTCAAATGTTGCTTGGAGCCAGCCGGGTTCCACTGAAGGATACACTGCACACAAGAAAATCACAAGCTTTAAGGCAAGGAGAACACTTCTGTAATGTCAAAGAACAAAACAACCCAAAAAACAAACAGATTAAAGGCATGGTTCACTGCAGAATTTTATCTGTGTAATTATTTTCTCAGCCTTTCCTCGTTCACTCACTCACGTTCTTCAAATTTGCTTTAGTCATGTCAGGGCATTTATTGCCATTCATTTTTCTTCCCTTATTTATTAGGGGTCGCCACAGTGGAATGAACTGCCAACTATTTCAGCACATGTTTTACGCAGGAGATGTCCTTCTATCTGCAACCCAGTACTTGCAAACACCCATACGGAGGAGACCCACGCCAACACAAGGAGAAAATGCAAACTCCACACAAAAATGCCAACTGGCCCAGCCAGGACTTGAATCAGTGACCTTCTTGCTGTAAGGCAACAGTGCTAACTAAGGGTGTCACGATCCTCCAAATCCTCGATTTGATTACATTTTCGATTCTAAAGGCACGATTCGATTCGATTTTCGATTATGAATACTTAATTAATTAATGACCAATTAATTATTTGTAGCCTACCGTTTAAACTACCTGACCTGCATGGTCTTTGTTTTACCCACAAACAAATCATACAGTAAATGAATAAAGGTAAGTTACACACATAATTACCACCTGTCAATCACTTTTTCTGCGGGACTCGTGAATAGGCTGTGATCTGTGTCGTTATAATGGCGTCGGTAAAAAAGACGCACAACCAACAGAAACCAGCCAACAGTATCTGAGGTGTTCAC